TTTCTACAACTTTCACTTTGGAGCAAAAATCTGGCTTTAAACTTGAAAGAAATAAAGATTTGACATTTATTGTCATAATTATCGATATCGACTGATATGAAAAAAAAAATTATCGTGATAATTTTTTTGGCCATATCACCCAGCCCTATGCACAGATCATATGAACCCCTTTAATGATGCTTTTATGGTGCTTGTTCACCCTTTCTGAAGCTTAAAGGGGTCATCGGATGCCCATTTTCCACAAGTTGATATGATTCTTTAGGGTCTTAATGAAAAGTCTGTAACATAGTTTGGTTAAAATTTCTCAATGGTAGTGTAAAGCAACATCCTTTTTACCCTGTCAAAAACAGCTCTGTTCACAGCGACTCGTTTCGGTGCATGTCCCTTTAAATCCAAATGGCCTCCGCCCCCCCCGCCCCTCTCTGCCGTGGGGTGATGAGCCGTTCTCATGATACTGTTTACTTTAGCCGCAGAACTTGCTAACTATCACATTATTAGGAAAGGTGAAAATCCTTATACTCACTTCTTCTGTAGGTGTAGCTGGATCACGAATGATTAGTGCGAACATATAAACACATTTAGGTAGATTGGGGATCATTCCCTTCAAAATTAAACGTAATCCACTGCGTCTTCAGCGGCTCAGATATCGGGAGTAAATGACGACTGCTATGTTCATTATTAAATCCAACAATAAAACAACTTAATCGCTTAGGAGACATTCTAGGAGACAATCAGTGTTGAAACAATGGCATTTGGATTTTTATCATTATATGTGTACACACACTGCCAACACACGTATGTTCAAACAACATGTAAAAGTGAATTTTGCATCCGATGACCCCTTTATCTTTAGACATTTACTTAATCTTTAAAGGAATTGACTTAACAACAAAATTGACTAACCTAAATAATACTACATGCTTTCAATGACTAAACTTTCTTTTCTTTTTTTGCAGAGCAATAAAAATCGAGGTGTATGACTGGGACAGAGATGGAGGGTAAGAAATAAACAATCATTCTGTAATACTGAAGATAAGATGCATCAAGATAAGGCATGAGACTGTGTGTGTGTGTGTGTGTGTGTGTTTTCAGTCATGACTACATCGGCGAGTTCAGCACCAGCTACAGGGAGCTCTCTAAAGGCCACTCTCAGTTTACTGTGTGGGAGGTGAGCCACTCTCATTTTCCTCATGTATTTTTCACACATGTCTGCCTAAAATATCGTAAATGTTAGCTTTTAAAAAAGCTTTTATTGCAGATATTTACATTACTTCATGAGTGTGTTGTTGAGGCCCGAGGAACAGTATTGAAGCTACTTATTATTTTATATGTAGCACTGGAAAATCTGATTTGTCAAACAGTTCAATGAAGCAAAAAAAAAGGGTTTCCCTAATTAGGTTTAAGCTAAATGTCTAGCTACATGAATATTTACTTATCTTATTTAATATTATATTAAATGTAGCTCATATACAATAACTCTTTTGGGAACTGTGTCTGCGTTTACAGTCTTGTGTAAATTATGTTTCTGGCCTTTCTGACATTTTGTCCCCCATCCCTGTGAAATCTCATCTTTTTTCATTTTTTTTATGACCTCCACATCACTGAAGCATAAATCAAACCCATAAGCGACAAGAACACTTATCAAAACCGGCTGCAGCACAAGAACCTTAGATAACAGCGAGAGGTCTAGGAGATGCAGTCAAATGTTCATCTCCACCAAGAGCTTCTGATGATCTAGTTTTTTGACACAATCAATATCTTCTTCACTGTGGTTGAATTTCTTGACACAAAATTCACACATTCTAAGTGTATTCACCATGTTCACCTATTATGGCAAAATATAGTTAGAGCAAGACAAGAAAAGAAATAGAATGAAATGACAAACAAAACGTAAAAAAAATTAAATAAACTGAGATTAAGCAACATTTCAGCAACATCCTATGTCTGACATCGCTGTATTTCTGCAGGTGCTGAACCCCAAGAAAAAGAAAAAGAAGAAGAAATATCTAAACTCAGGAACCGTAAGTGAATTTTTAACTAGATCCTTCAATTTAATTAATGAAAAAAAAGTTCCAAAGAAGAACAAAAGAAAACAATACATGTTTGTTCTAACAAACAAACATCCTTATTGGTAAGACTTCTTATAGAAGGTCCTACATTATATCTTCATAAGCAATGCACAATGCCTTCATACGCTGTGCATATAAATATTCATATATTTTGATGTAGCTCATCATTGGTCTGCCCTGATGCCGTGACTCTAGAGAGTTACATCATCACCCTGAGCATGAATATTGATATGACATTTATGATTAAAGTATGCATTGCTTATTGAAAGTGTGATGATGCCCTTTAGGACTCTACATAGGAAGTGTTACCAAACTTTCATGTTGACAGGTCACTCTCCTGTCCTGCTTCATTGATGTCGAGGTTACGTTCCTGGACTACATCAAAGGAGGGTCAGTATTTGTGTGTGTGCGTGCACTTTTACAATCCTTCTGAACAATGATATTGATAAATGTAATTATTACATAATTACATACCATAGTTTTATACCAGATGAAATCTATAAATATAATAATACCCCTAACTGACAGTGAAAATGTATATTTATTCCTAATTAAAATGTATAGTTGTGTGTGTGTGTGTGTGTGTATAACAGTATGCAACGACATCTCTACTACTAACATAATCCTTGTTCCCCTATGGAGGGAACAGAGACATTGAGGGGTTGCTCTTGGGAGCCCGAAACCTCTGACGTATTCAGAAAAGGGCATTGAAATTGGTGAGTGAAATTTGCACACCTGGCCACACTCAGACATCTGGGTATATAAGGAGCCTGTGTGCTGTTGTGAATGCTATGCATCTAATGATGGAGAACAGCAGTCCAGTGTTCACCACTCAAGGTAAACTAAAAACTGGACCTGAACAGCATCCATTACCACCTCATAGAATGAAAAGGCACTGAACGCAAGCTCTACACCCTACCAGTCATCTAGATTCATTTTTGGTTTGCAGAACTGTAGATGAAACTGGTGCCATGTGTAGATTATAAAATCTGGGTGTAGCCCAGCCTGCAGTTCTACATATGTCTGCTAATGAGGCACTTTTCACTAAGGCCAAAGAGGCAGTGACACACCTGGTTGAGTGCGCCCTCACTCCCAATACCTCAGACTTGATATGCCTGACAAAGAACTGTTCAGATTGCCTTAAACTCTGTGCAATTAAGATATATGTGAATAAGCATGCACTGGGCACAACAAAGACAAGGCTGGGTCTCCGTCATCCAGAGGGAGTGCTTGCCGGGTTACCATTTGATCCCTGAACAGGGTAGTGGGAACCTTCAGCACATAGCCGGGCCACGGTCTAAGGACTATGTGGGAGTCTGCCGGCCCGAACTACAGGCACATTTCATTAACGGAGTGGGCTGGATGATACCTCACCTTCTTGACAGAGGTGAGCACAGTCAAGAAGGCCATCTTTATAGAAAGGACACTAAGCTCAACTGACTTTAGAGGCTCAAACGGATCTCCTTGCAGGGCCTGTAAGACCACTGAGAGATCCCAAGAAGGGATGAGATTCGCTCTTGGAGGATTTAATCTCCTTGCACTTTTGAGGAATCTAAAAATGATATTGTGCTTTCCTACTGATTTGCCATCCACAATGTCGTCATTTGCTTCTATTGCAGCTACAGACACTTTTTAGGTGAATGGAGACAGGTGTCTGTCCAGGCCCTCTTGGAGGAAAGAAAGCACTGATCCAATACCACATTTCCTTGGATCTTCCCTAGAGCACAAAGCAATGAAGAGGTGCCACTTCAGGGCATTTATCTGCCTAGCAGAGGAGGCTCTAGCCTAAGTTGTTGTGTCTGTCACCGCTGGTGATAGCAAACATTTCTACCTGTGCTGTCCATCCAAGGGCTAAATGTATGATGGCACACAGGCATGATGGGAACTTGTTTTGAGCTGCGGCACCATGCCCATCTACTGATTCGATCATGATGCCAGTGCTGAAGCGGCCTCATACACTTCAACCCAACTGACGCTACAGCGACCAAGGATGCCCGATGCCCCGTGAGCTTTTGGAAATATTTGAGAGGAACCACTGTCTTGTATTTGAACTTATACAAGCAGTTCAGCACTGACTGAGAAGAGTCTTGTAAGAGATGTGCCATCATGGTGACTGAGTCCAACTCCACAATGAGAACAGAGATGCTCTGCACAGGGGAGAGTATACTCTTCTCCAAGTTGACCCTCTCGCAATTGGGCTAGGTGCTCCAAGACAATGTCCCTGTGTGCACACAACAACTCTAGTGAGTCAGCTAATATTAGCCAGTCTTCAGGGATGCAAATGCCTGCTTCCCTCAGTGGGACAAGGGCAGCCTCTGTGACTTTCCAGAAGACACGAGGAGACAGGGATAACCTGAAAGGGAGAACCTTGTACTGATATGCCTGTCTGAGAAGCCAGCATGATGGGCCAACCAAGTGTCCAGACTCCTTCTCTCGGTTTCCCGTCTCAAGACTGCTTCTAAGCCTTTAGTGGGTTCTTAGTAGCCTGTGGATGAGCTGGCAGTGTCTCCTTCCCACGAGAAAACCATTGTGCACCAGGGTTTTTGGCAGGGCCTGTGCAGCCTTCGCAGGGGGCCACCCTCAGCGACAAGCAGGCAGGGGCTGCTGCTTCAGGGGTGGGCCTTGACCCGCTCCGAGACATAATGTTTTTAATAACCTCTGTCTGCTTTTTCACAGCCGAGAACTGTTGAGCAAATTCCTCGACAATGTTGTTGATGCAGCTTGTCCAGAGGCATTGTAAGCCTTCACCACGAGAGAAGAAGTAAACTTACATGCCCTGGATGGGAGTCAGACAGGACGACTATGTGTCATGATCAGACACCAAGAACCAATTATCAAGCCTTAAGCACTTAGGGCAGGTTGGAATATTCCACTCAAGCCCAATGCTCTTGGCAAAAAGCTGCCCGAAGACAAGAGGTCAGCCGAGTCATCAGCATCAGATTGCTCAAGCCCACTCTCCGATGCTCTGAATGAGAAATTGAGCTCACATTGCTCTCAAACCCATATGGAAGAGACGTGTGAGGGGGAGGAAGGGGAGGTCCATGGGGATTCACCTTGCATCCCCAGACTCACACTCAGAGCACATTGTCAAGGCCTTGTACCTGAGACTAAAAGGACTAGGACAGGAAACATCTGAGGTGACTCTCAGTCTTTTGAGAAAGAATGAGAGCTGTGAGTGCAATGTGGCCATGGTCATGATCTCACAAGCAGAACAAGAACCATCCACGAAAGCTGTTTCAGTATGAGTCCGACTCAAAAGCTGTGGACAGCGATTGTGACCATCTGAGGGAGACATACAACAGACCTAGTATAGGACACAAATAGAATGCATATTGCCATATACACAATCCTCCATGTCTGTATTTTGAGGTGAGGAGAGTCTGCTGATTGTGTCGTAGAATTCAACGGTGAGAGGTGAGAGGAGACTTCTCCTTTCAAATGACACTGCATCAGCTGCAAAGAACAAAGCTTATTAAGTGAAGCATGCAGGCCCCTTATTTACCCGGATGTCCAGGGAGTGGCCATGCATGCAAATTTCACTTGCCAATTGCACTGGCCTTTTCTGAATGTCAGAGGTGTTTGGGCTCCCAAGAGTGACCCCTAGTTTCAGAACTTTAACACAACATAACAAGTGACCAACAGAAAGAAGAAGAATATGTGAGTGGTGCTTGCTGTGGCACTAGGCGTTTTTCTGGGTGGTTGCTAAGTTTCTAAGGTGTTGCTAGGCAGTTGCTAGGATGTTTTCTGTGGTTGCTAGGGCATAGCTATGTGGTTGCATAGCAGTTGCTAGGGTGTTTTGGGTGGACGCTATGCTATGTGGTTGCTAGGCAGTGGGTGGGGTGGTGGTCTAGATGGCTGCTACGGTATTCTCGGTAATAAATGTTTTAAACACTAGTAGGCTATGCTGTCACGTTACTTCAGTGAAAGAGTTTCTATTACTGTAAAACCATGACATCTAGTTATCATGCTGGAAATAGATGCATCATTTTGGAAACTCCAGAATTCAGTATCTCACATAAACTGTGACGCCATCCGGGTTTTCCATGCATACGAACATACTTGAGCTCATCGATTGAGACTGAAAACACATTGCTGTGCCTCACCATCCATGAATAATTCCCTCTTCCTTCCCCTCTCCTCCTCGCCACGTATTCACATATTCACAGACAGCGCACTGCATTATGATGCCGTAATAAACAGAGCTATAAATAGAGCACTCTATTCTGAGAGACACAAAGACCCCAGGCACATGACCTGGCCTTCAAACAGTCCAGCAAACACTGGAAATATCTGATGAATAATTGGAAGGATCTGCAAAAAGACTACTGTGGAACATTCTTAAAGACAGTTAGTGAATCTCTCTAAATATATGAATTCTGTTGAACAGACAGAAAAACCAGGAAGCTGCAGAGAGAATATTAGACAAACACAGAGCTGCTCTGAGGGAATAACTTCTTCATTTTATTGTCCACAGATTAAATTGAGCTGAGACACAGTTTCACACAGTCAGCTCACTGGGGATTTGAATGAAGAGCTTTTTTTATACTTTAATAAACATCGTATATTTTATGTTCATAAGCTGACTCACATGTGCTCAAATAATTGTTTTTGCTCTGTTCACTTGCAGCACTCAAATTAATTTCACAGTGGCCATTGATTTTACTGCATCAAACGGTGAGCTTACATCACTGAAACATTGCTCTTCAAAAGAAAAAGCATCATTTACATTTTATGATAATGGCTTTTTTTGTGTTCATGTAAATTTACTAATAGTTATTTATTGTAACTAACCAAGGTGTAAAAAAGTACTGAGAAATTGTACTTAAAGTACACATACTATGTAAAAAAAAATTGTACTCAATTAAAAATTAAAAAGTTCCTACCCCAAAAAAATAATTGAAAGTATTTTTAAACAACTGCAAAAATTAAATCTCATATATATATATATATATATATCTATATAGTTTAAAATTAATTGGAAAAAAAAAACATTGATTATTTCTCCATATCAGGATTGAACTATTCAGCTAAAAAGAGCCAATTTAATGTGGTCAAAATACTCTTTTAAAGATAATGCATAGACTGATCATTATTTTTGCACAGCATAACTGGGTTTAACAAAGACATCAAATGATCAAATAATGTCAGTAGTTCATCATGGGTACATGTTACACAAATGGAACCGTTTCATTAGAATTGTTACCTATACAGCATGAAATCTTATTTCTTCACAGAAATATGAAGAAAATATGAAGAAATATTTCCATTCATATTTAAATGCTTTTTTGATTCATGCATTTTCTGCTTTATTTACGGCAGGCAACCCTTCCCAGCCTACCTCTCTACACTACATGAGCCCGTATCATCTGAATGCGTATGCACTGGCCCTCAGAGCCGTGGGGGAGATTATTCAGGACTATGACAGTGATAAGCTGTTCCCTGCACTGGGGTTTGGTGCAAAACTGCCACCCGATGGCCACGTGTCTCACGAATTCCCACTGGTGAGGACACTTCTTTTTAAATTTTACTGTTAAGTAGCTAAAAGTAGTTGCTTGGTTTTTATATTCAAACGATTTGTTCTCAAACAGCATATTTTTGTGTGTTTTATTTATCAGTGAGAGTGTTACATTGACAATCTTACACTGAAAATGCTCAAGTCATTTCAGGATAGAATAAACTACATGTCTTTTGCCCAGATTTTTGCCCTGTCAACATATCAGGTCCAATCTGCAGATTTATCTACACCCAATAAGCTTTCTTGGTCAACATTCGTATAGTCTGGTTCAGTCTTTGCAAGTTTTCCTGCTGCACCCTTTTAGAGTTCCTGTGCAATCCTCCACCTCCCCCAGCACCACATGTCTAGATTTGCTACAAAGGATCTTATTTATGCCTTTTTGTGCAGCACCAGCATGCATAGCAAATCTAGTCTGCCAAGACAAAATACATTATCAATGTCTAAACTACCCTGTGAATTGTCATGAATGAAATACCCTAAATGGTATTCTTATATTGGGGTAAGGAAAACGATTTAAGAAAAACCCAATCAAAATGATCCATTACCCCAGCTATTTGTTTATGTAAATCAGTGCTTTATCAACTTATTTAGTGTATTCCTCTATTTGTATTTACCAATTTTGGAAACAGAATAAGTAAACTTGCACTACAACATTTATATTGCAATGCAAAGGCAATGCAAGAGGAATTAATGATGCTGTGCGACAATGGCATTATAATGAGCTAGTTTTAATCATTATCAGTGTTTTTTGCACATATAAATACACTTTGTGTGTTCTTTGAGGGTCCCCTGAGGTGCTGAACATTTTAGGTGTCTTATTTAACTAATAAACCCAATTGACCGTTCGCAAAAACCTGCCCTCCTTAGTTACTGTTGCTATGGAAACTGACAACACGCCGACAGACAAGACAGAGCATGTTACTTCTGGTGTGAATCTCAGCTTTCAAATGTTGTCTTTTTTTAAAAGAAATTCAAACAATAAATTCCATTTGTGGCTCTTTAATGTTTCGTGACAGATCGCTGTATTGCCTCATTTAAAGCGGCACACGTGAACCATTTACTTAAAGCACGAAATAAACATGAATGAACATCATGTATTTTATTTCAACCGTGGAAAGATGTCAATGCACACAATTTTTCAAGTTTACCGAAGTCAATCTGCTCTCCTGTCTGATTTGTTTGTCGGGCAAGATGGCGAATTCAGCGTTATGATTGGTCAGATCACCTGTCAATTAAGCTCTTTGCAAAAGGTCAATTGAATCAAGTGTTTTGTCTAATGCAGAGATTCATTATAGATTCATATTCAGTCCTGGTGCCCCAGAGAGATATATTGAAAAACAGTGGACTATGGTTTCTAACATTGGTATGCTGGTATCCCAGTATCCTAGTCTCTGCCAAACCCCAACCATAGACTGTACACATCTGCCTGGGCTACCTGGTATGACTGTACTCCTCCACCTCTAGCTCTTTCAGATGCACTTCTGAACCTGTCCACCAGCAGGACCCTTAGAGCCTACACTTATGGTATAAGTGCAGCCTTTTCCCCCTAGAATATATCAACTGTGCTTTCCATTTATTCAAAAGGCAGTTAGGCCTGGCTGTTTAGGACAAGCGCAACAAAACTACTTTAAATTCCAGCCTCTTCCTTTGCAATTAAGGAAGGAGATTGTACATTTTGAATGCGTACATCTATTAAAAGTTAATTTTATTAACTTGTAGAAGTGCATTAGCATATAAATGACCCAAAAGCCAACAAACATGGACTAAATGCCAAAAAGCTCCCATTTTAATTTCACACAACTACAACTACACCACTGGTAAACAAATAAGGGCTCTGCAGGGTGACTAACTGATAAATATGGATGCGACCGTTCATAAAGGAGATTGAAAAAGACTGATAGACATTAGCAAATGGAGATTACCCACAGCTGTCTCACATTTCTAAAGAGGACAGAAATTATTTTGTTTCTTTTTTTCTATTTTTTTCCCTCTTCCACACCCACGAAACCGTCACAGAGAATCTATCACATAATCCCATATACAGTGAGACACAGATCCTTCTTATTGGACCAAACAGATGCACTGCCTGCGGCTGCAGCTGCCCACACACAGCTAAAACACACACACACACACACACACACTTCTCCTCAGGGCTGAACGCGGGATGACTCGATATGCACTCAGCAGAGCATTAAAGCTTAACTTGAGTGAATAGCACTCTTTAAACTCGCTCTTACTGCAGGAAGCTTCTGGGATGTGAGCTCAGATGGCCAGATCAAACTTTTGATGGCTGATTCTTGTTGTTGTCATTTTGCTATGACAATGATTTATCACTGTAAACATTTATGATTATACTATCTACTATTAGTGTAAATTACTACAGCCGTGGCCGAAAGTATTGGCAGTGAATACTTGTAGAAACAATGTGAATGAACACCACAAGAGCTTAAGTAGCAAATTTTGCAAAACACAAAATTTATGTCACTGCCAATACTTTTGGCCACGACTGTACTACTATTTAGTAGCAGTATAGATTACTTCTTACTATTATGTACTATCCATAATAATATCTACTATCAATAAGTTGTGTTATATCAAATTAAATTCTGTTGGATACTAAAAAAAGAGTATTTTAACATAAAAAATTTTCTACTCTTGTAAAAATGCAAACTTTAAAAAAATAATCTATTACAGAAATAAAGAATGTACTTTATAATAAGAATGTTTTTGGACACTTAATTGTACGTTAACTGCATTTAAATTAAATTGTATTATAATTTGGATTTATATTAAATGCAATTAGCTGAAGTGTGCTTTTTTGACGCAGTTACATAGGACTTAAGTACATCTTTATGTGTAATTTCACAATTACTTCCATTCCAATATGCTGACAAGCATTTATGATAAACTAAAATATACTTTAATGTCATGTTTTTAAATATATTCGTAATTACAAATTTTAATGAGGTAGTAAACATAGTAAATTATGTGAACTTTAAATGTAATTTGAAATAATACTAGAGCTAAAATGATATTGCTTTACATGTGCTTTAGTATTAGTCAATATATTAAAATAAATGTACTCTACAGTGAAACTTTTAATTTGATATTATTACACAGTACACATTTTTGTAAAAGTGTACTTTTAGAAAAGTCTAAGAAACAGCCATGAAAGTATACTCTCTACACTTAAGTTGCCTTTTTTCATTAATATGATATTATTTGCAAGTATAGCTTTTAAGATTTATATAAGTGTAGTGTAGTGTTTATATATATATACCAAAGAGGCACAAAATCACTTTCACAGACTTTTAAATTAACTGTTCCCTCCTGGTGGAATGAACTGCCCAACTTAATCCGAGCAGCTGAGTCCTTAGCCATCTTCAAGAATCAGCTAAAACACATCTCTTCCATCTTTATTTAACCCTCTAACTCTAGCACTCTCTATTCTAATTATATTCTTAAAAAAGACTTGCATTCTATTCATTTGCTAACTGCTTGTTTTCTTAAAAAAATTAACACTAGCTTTTTTATTTCTTTTTATTTATTATATAATTTAAAAAAACCTTGCTACGTGTACTGCGCTAAACTAACTGAGACTTGTTATAGCACTTGTATATCATTGCTCTTTTGTTGATTTTGATTGCTTCCATTGTCCTCATTTGTAAGTCGCTTTGGATAAATGTAAATGTATATCCATAAAAGAAATTAAAGTATATAAAATATAATTTTACAATTTGACATACACTGCAAGTGCTCAGTACAATTAAGCACACTCATTTACGGTATGTTTGTGTCTTACTCGCTGGTGCTTGTATTTGTGAATGTGTGTATCACATGTACATATGTTCATTTTTATGTGTACTTACAGAACGGGAACCCAGAAAATCCATATTGCAGTGGGATAGAGGGTGTTCTAGAGGCGTATTATCAGAGTCTGAAGTCTGTTCGTCTGTATGGACCAACATACTTCTCACCTGTCATTAATCATGTAGCAAGGTGAGGCAGCCAATTATATTTCACACTAGTTGTTTAGGCCATGCGCTAAAAATACAATTTACAGTTACAAAAAAAAGTTTCAGGTTTTGTTTTACAGTAAGATTGCATATAATAGAATGTTAAACGATTCATTTTTTTCTTATTTTGTTATGTTACTACAATGTTATGCTTGCATCCTGGTACCTCATTAAAGAACCGATTGTAGGCAATAGCCCAAAAAGCATGTGTTGGGGCATACTTGGAAAATCTACCACAAATAGTACACCATCATGGTACTTTTGACTATTTTAGATGCACTTTTCTTTGTGACACTAGGATGGATTGGATTTGAATTGCGATTCAGCCTCTGTGTCCATTACAAGCACATGAAGTGATCAGCGTATTTCTTTGCAGATATGCGTCATTAGTAAAGGATGGATCTGAATACTTCATCCTCCTCATCATCTCTGATGGGGTCATCTCAGACATGGCTCAGACGAAAGAATCCATTGTAAATGTAAGTAAAAAAAAAAACATAGTTCCCTGCCATCTTTACACCATTTGAAATAATAGAAAATACAAGCATCCCTTATATACATATTTATAAAACACGGCAATGAATAGCTGACACCAAGTTTTACTATGTGGTAGGCCTATTATTTTATGTTTATAAACAGCAAGATTTTGACATAATGTCAACATTGTGTCCCCAAGTTATCAACTCTTGTTACCATCACAATTTTCCCCCTTTTAAGGTGATGAACTATTCCATAAATTTATTTAAAAAAAAGACATCATTCCACAACTCTTTGTCTGAATAATGTTGTTTTTTAATAAGGTATTATCTTAAAATGTCAGCCCTGTTACCATGATTTTGAAGTAGACGAATGGTTTACTTTTTAATTTGACATTTCACGTCTTCTGCTCAAGGCAGTAAAACTACATTCTTTCCAAAACAGTTAACAGTTGTCGACTACAAAATCGTGGTAACAGGGCTGACATTTGAGGATCATACCTGATTATCTACCTGAAAGAATGTTTAAAAATGTACAAAAAATGTATTTAAAAAATCACACTGGAACCTTATTTTTAAGAGTCTAAGTTTGTTTGCTTTGTAAACAATAGGCATTTATCATTCTAATCACTAGAAAACATGTTTATTGGATGAAAATGAAACTATCATTGCGCTGAAATAAAAGAGAAGAATTTACGCCCACTCACAAAGTTTGTTGATTCCTCATTGTGGATACTATTACAATATGAAGAATACAGAATTAGAAAAAAAAAAGTCTTAAATGGATCCATTTGTCTTTCCTTTAAACACGTCAACCGAGACGCTGAAATGTGATATATTGTGCAGACTGGTCTCTTCGAACCATGACAGGAGTCGTTCATAATGTGTCAGTGTGCAGATAGCTGAGCATCTACACTTGAGCAGGGCACGTTTCCTGGGCTTAATGAATGGGCCTCATGTTTCAGATTTCAGAATTACAGAGTTCAAACATAAAAGTAATGTATAAATGTACAATAAATGTATGCATACGTCAGAATGTATAACAGGGGCTGCAATTAACATGTACATACAGTGTTTGTATATTTAGACAAAATTAAGTCTTCATTCAGAAGGAGACCAAATCTTTGTAGATTTTGATGAATATAAAACATGATTGAAAAAAAAAAAACATTTGCAAGAGTAATATTTATTTATTTATTTTAAATAACTCAGTAACAGGGCTGAATGATTTAGCTTGACAAATCCATTCAACACTATAATTTCTCCAAAAATTGAGAAAATGGAATGGTGTCACTTTCTGGAATGGAATGGGGAGAAATTATGCAGTAACAGAGTTGAACATACAATGCGGGAACATTTTTTTTGCTCATTATTTATTTATTATTTATTTCAAATCACCCTTTTACAGGGATCACGGGCATTTAATTGTTTAAAATTGGCCATTGTTTAAAAAAGTAAATGAAAACCAGTTTGTACCATATTTGAGAAAAGTGCCTCATGTGTCTCCATAGATCGGAACACAAGATGTTGTATTGCAGTACTGCGATCACAAGTCTGTTTTGTGCATGTTTTATTATACAAATGTGACCCTGGATGTGAAAACCCAGCTAAAGTTTTTTTTTTTTTTGTGATTTACTGTTTTCTACATAAAATCATCCTTCATACGGTAAAGAACATTCTGTGAAAATGTAACCTTGATATCTTTACTATCGACTGAGTAAGGCCATGTCAAAGACTGAAATCATAGTGAAATTAATGGTTGAAATTAAATTTTGATGCTTGTTATCTCATAATTAGATTTTGAGACTTTAGCCTGGATTTCACAGAGAGGCTCATAAATGTTGAATTATATGAGGAGGGTATTCCTGCGGGTCTTGTTTTGATGAACTGTTCCCTTCTGTTGAAGGCCTCCAGTCTTCCCATGTCAATTATCATCGTTGGAGTCGGGCCGGCTGAGTTTGACGGTAAGATGAGAGTGATATGTATGTCTTTGGGGATGTTTGAAGATGTGATATGATATCAGTCTAGTCCAGCAGAGAACCATCAAACCAGATCAGATCAAAAGAGAAACGTGTTTCACACATGCTCCAGTGAGACCAATCAGTCTCCCAGAACGTCATTAGTAAGCGTATGTGCTGTAAGAGCTTTGAAATTTCCATTGGCTTATCAGTTCATTTCTTAAATAACCCTGGACCTCTGTTCATCTGAAAAGTTACTTAGTTTCAACTGTCTCATCTGCTGTAGTTTTCATATTTTGTTTGTTGGTAGCATATTTGTTCAGAGTGAATGAGAATGATTAACATGTGCATGTAACATGCACGTTCATGTCTCCATTGTGCAAGTCAGATAATGGTGCAATGCTGCCATGATGACGACAATTTTACAAATTTGCACAAACATCTCTTTTACTAATACCACTCATTTTTTGTGGGCAGTATTAGCATAGCAATCGACAAATAGTGCTAACATATGTAAACTTTTGTGAATGATTTTGGAACATCTCCCACTAGGTATATAAACAAATCAGTTTCTGTATATCCATAAAATAAATTTGTATATTACTATTAATATTATTGTTATTTATGATAGAATATTTATTCACAAGATGATATAATTGGAAAATAAACCAACATTTGATTTATTTAGCTAATTGCTTTATGACTGTACATTATTATGTGGCTCATTTGCAACGAGGCATTTTTGTGCTTTGAAGAACAAATTTAAACATGCCAATTTGTTTAGTGAATAAAGTTTTTTTAAAAGCTTATTTTATTTATTTATTTATTATATTCGTTTAAATTGTGTTGAAGTACTTCTCACTAAAGTGAATTTTTCATTCATTGTCATTAGCTGGGTTTTCCAAATTTTGCGATATTTTATGTCGATAAAAAACCTATTGCGAATTGACGCTGTTTTCATTAACCGATGATGTGCGAATAAAATGTAATTTTTCCTCTTGCAAAAAGTCATGGCGACGGATGTTGGTAGGTTTACGTATTTTGCAGCCGTATGTGTGTATCTTCTGCAAAGCAATGCAGAGCAATACGCTTCTGAAACATGTCATGGCAAGGCTGGTATAAACACAAGCATTGACTAGAGCGGCCGGTGGCCGTGTCGGAGCCATAACGTGCCGCAAATGTGTACAGTGTTAAAGGGCAACATGTCTACGTCACGATGTGGGAAGATTTGCATAACGCCGCCCAAATGTTCACGCAAAGAAAGAAGGAGTAACTTATTCTCGCTGTAGTATTGTTGCTGCTGCCATGTCGTAAAGGCGCTGTGTGTTTCGTTGCGAAAGCGAAAATACTTTGTTTGGCATCCAAAAGAGGGGTATTCGGCCAATCACAACGCACTGGATAGCTGGCCAATCAGAGCACACCTCGCTTTTCAGACCGATGAGCTTTGTAAAAATCAACGCGTTTCAGAAAGGCGGGGCATAGAGGAGAAACAATAATGTACAGTATGTGGAAAATAATGTGTTTTTTTAACCTTAAACCGCATTAAACACATTTCATTACATCAAATACACAACATAATTTTTTAGCAACATCATATGACCCCTTTAATAAAGGGTTATCCAAGCATTAATGGCAAGGAAATGCCCTTTATACTTGAGAGAGGCCACATATGAAGTGTTTCTTGGAGATTATAGTACATTAAAGAATGATCATGTGACTTTTACATATGCCAGGTGACCTGTAAATGCGAAAAAAAACTGTTTCCATTGCAGTTTTGCGATGTTTTCCATTTTCGAATTGCCTGAAAAACCACCTCTTGCGAGTGTAATTTTTTGTTTTGCGATATATGGGAGTTTTTTTCAAAATTGATGTGTTTCCATTAAGCGTATTTTCAATTCACAATTTCAATTTGCGCAATTTTAATTTTGGGTAATGGAAACGTGGCTATTGTTTTTGTTTATAGACCCAAATTCCAAAATTTAAATAATTCTAAAATTCATAAATTTTCATAAACCCACTTATAAAGTTAGTTAAGGTTTCCACCCTCTTTTGCACCAGATCTCTGACACTTATGCCCTGTTTAAACCTGGTATCAAGATACATTTGGTCGATCGGATTACAAATAGACGAGGTAGACACCTTCCCATTCATACCTGGTGTTTTAATCTGTCCCTTCTGTCCACTTTTGACCACTTTCCTCATTTCTTTGACGCAAGGGTGTATGGGTGGGTGTATGTATGGGCTTTTTCTGCTCTTTCAATCTAATATTGTGAATTAAGTTCATGCAATTTACATTTGAACGTGAAAGGAGACAGCAGAAAACAATACAGAGAGCTGCAGCTTTTGGTTCTGCTCTGATAGCTACAAAACTATGCCGAATGCTGTGGGTTTGTGTAAGAATCAGGAATGGTAAGAGAACATTGTGCTTTTTACAGTTTTTCGGTACATGCATTTGGTTGAATGTATGTCCACTTGTGATCAGATCAACAAAAACTATTGTGTGTAGCTAGCTGTTGTCTAATTCACTGATAGACCTTTTTCATTGTGTAGGCACCTTAACTTTCACTTTCACAACTTTAACTGCTCTTAGGTTTTGTCAACATAGTACTTTATTCTGTTTTATTTGACAAGACCACAAACAATTTTCATTTCATTTAATTTTTCATTAAATTGTGCTTTTATGTTACACATTAAAAAGCAAACCTTGGTCTCTTCTGGGCTTGCAATTTGTATAAAGGTTGATACTTTCTTTCCCTTTAATGAAGATAAAACCTCATTTACATGCAGCTCCCTGTGTTCTCGTTATCTCACAGCAGTCATGATTTGCTCTTTGAACTCATTTCATAGCCGCCAGATGTGAGCACCACATGATGGTTTTTCCTGTGCCATTTTCTTCCATTCGACAGAGATGATTGAACTAGATGGAGATGAGGTCAGGATATCATCCAGGGGTCGCTTCGCGGAGAGAGACATTGTGCAGGTGAGCTTTCTAACCCTGTATATCTATGGACAGAAATAGTAAGGCAATATTCCAGGCGATTTTCTACAGCATCTATAGCATTGATGATCACAGACAATATTTTTGACTCATCTCTCAGTGTGTGTGGTTATAGCAAATGGGAAATCTGTTTACAGTAAGAGCAGGCAAGTGTACAGAACTGAGAATAAATGTTTAGCTTTGATCATCATATTTTTGAAGCTATAACCATCATCTTTATAGGAATAGTTCACACAAAAATGAACGTTTGCTGAAAACGTACTCACCCTCAGGCCATCCTGTAGATGAGTTGAGTTTGTTTCTTCATCAGATTTGGAGAAATGTGTCATTCCATCACTTGCTCACCAATGGATGCTCTGCAGTGAATGGGTGCCGTCAGAATGAACAGCTGATAAAACATCACAATAATCCACAAGTAATCCACACCACTCCAGTCCATCAATTAACATCTTGTGAAGCAAAAAGTTGCGAGTTCGTTTTACAAGGCAAAAACAGTTCTAAACAAAGATTGGTTATGATGGACTTTTTTCACTGGATGAAGCATTATTATGGACTCATATTTTGGCAATAAGTGATGGTTTGAAGTTAAAACTTCTTGATGGGTTCGTTTTATTACAAAATGTCAATTGATGGACTGGAGTGGTGTGGATTATTGTGTATTATTATTGGACTCTCATTCCGACGGCACCCATTCACTGCAGAGGATCCATTGGTGAGCAAGTGATGGAATGATACATTTCTCCAAATCTGATGAAGAAGCAAACTCATCTACATCTTGAATGGCCTGAGGGTGAGTATGTCTTAAGCAAATGTTCATTTTTGTGTGAACTATTTCTTTAAACTATTACATGTGTTAAGAATCCATAACACTTTGTTGATTTTCGACACTTTATTGCAACTGAAAATGTAAAATGTACATTTAAAATTTTCTTTGAAGCGTCTGTGAAACTTGTATGCAATGCAATGTACTTTTAATATTTGAACTAGACTATAAATGCACAATACAATTAAGCACACTTCTTAAATGTGATTTATACTCATTTTTACCATCTAAAAGACGAGTCAGATTGATTTTCTGCAGTTGTCAACAGCATATTCCTCCTAAATCTCTCTCCGATTCCTTCTCAGTTCGTTCCTTTCCGAGACTACATCGATCGCAGAGGGAATCACATCCTCAGCATGGCTCGTCTGGCCAAAGACGTTCTTGCAGAAATCCCGGATCAGTTCCTCCAGTACATGAGGAGCAGAGGCATCAAACCCCAGCACTCGTCCCACTCCAGCTCCTCCAAACCCCCGTCCACACTCGTCCAGCCACTGCAGACGCAGATCTGAGTCATCGCTCAAACTGTACGTCCTCTCTTCGGTTCACTGTCACTCTCAGGATCACACACGGCCTGTCTGAGTGAAACGCTGCCCTTCTGCACGCTGTCTTTCAGTACGTAGGGTGACGTTAGGGAGCTTTACGCGTGGCGCTGTCCTTCCTCGGGCACGCTGAGGTTTTAGGGGGTGTTTCAGACTGTTTTAAAGTATCGCGTGGCCTCTTCAGTCAAACATCAGATATGACTTCACAGTCTCTGTCTCACATACTATCTCCTGTTCTCATGTCTGACGAACTACTGCAGACGTTTACAATTGTACCGTTTTTTACAAATGGATGTTTTTTTGTACCTCATGAAAACTCTGAGCTGCTTAACAATGAAATTTACTCATTTTATTACATGACGTTGTAAATAGAGCGAGTGTGATTTTAGAAAAAGCATGAATCCACTCTCAGTACAAACGTGAGAGAAACGTTCACGCAGATGTGCGAGGCCTTGGTTTTCATTTTGTTGTACAGTGTTCGCTTTGAATTATTTTACTATATCAGTATTCCGTGTTCTTGGTCATTTGACTGTCTCAAACTGTAAAGAATTTGTGCTTAGCTTTCGCGGCACTAGCACAGAACAGAAGTTTAACAGGAAAAGCCTTACTCTCCGTTAAAGGAACAGTTCACCCAAAATGAAAAATTTTGCATTATTTACTGAACCTCAAGAAATTCCAGACATGTATGATTCTGTCCCTCATGTGCTCTGTGTTACCTAGTTTCTGTCTCCCGTTGATTGTGTCATTTGGTTCAGGTGTGTCTTGTTAATTGTCCTCGTCATCCCATGTATGATGACGTGGATGACGTGCCCTAGTCTGTGCAGTCTGTGTTTGGCCGGTCTACAAAGTCCCTACGTCCCTATCCTGCCTGGCTGTCCTGTCCTGTGTTTGCCCTATTGTGGATTATTAAAGACTATTTGCATTCATCTTCATCTTTGTCATGCGTTTATCTTACCGTAGCTGTTACAGAAGACCGGACCAAAGAAGTGAAAGTGCAAGGCATGTTATCCCCGCATTTTTGTTTAGTTTTGAAAGTTTTTTTTGTGGGTTTTTTTCGTTATGGAGAGGAGGCGTAAGTTTTCAGCTGTGGCCCGGTAGAGCCACAATCTAGTTTCGTTTGCCCTAAGTTTCACCCGTCTTGCCGTCACGTCCCCATTTGATGACGAGACCATGAAGTCCTTGTTCCGGACCGGAACACAACAGGATCCAGAGCCCAGCCCACCATCACCCCGCTGCGCTGAGCAAAAGCCCGCTGCAGCTGACGAGCCATCGCATAATGGAACGACAGAGCTGACAATCGCCCCGGAGCCAGAGCCTGTAACATCAGACCAGGTGCGAGAGCCGGCTACAGAGCTTGCCACAGGGGAGATTGCTATGGACAGCGAGAGCGTGGAGGGAAGCTCCGCCCACTGCACCATAGCTGAGGGTGAGCCGAGCTCAGTGGACTGTTATTTGGATGTATATGCAGACATGTCACCTCTTCTCCCGCCGTCGTCTGAATTATCTGCCTGGCCTGAACTGTCTATCTGCCCTGAACTATCTGCCTGTGGGAAAGGCCCAGTTCTACGGGGGTGCTAGAAGGTGCTAAGCACCCTCAGTTAAAGTTGTATTAAGGCGATACTCTGCAGGTGAATAGGGTAAAAATATTAACTAATAGTTATCACCTTACTTACCCAGTTGATTGATTACATTGATAATTGCAAACATTTTTTGTATTACAAGTTTTCTAAAATGTTATGTTTAAATGTGCAAATGAGGCATTATTTAATGAAATATGCGCTAATTTGCATAAATTTCTAGTACAAAAATCTGAACACTGGATGAAGTCAGTTTCAAAATTCTTGTTTAATGTTTTTGACATATTAGAGTCAAATGTTTTTACAGAGTGAATTTAGGGTATCTCCTTTTGTCACTCCATAATTCAGAAAAATCTTTGAAGAGACAGAAAACTATATATTTTCAAAACTTTGGGGGGAAGAAAATGTTGTATACAATCAAACAAAATATATATGAACAAATCCCTCTGTAAAAATCTTCAGAATATAGACAGGAATAAAAATGTAAAGTTTGGTGTGAGTAAGTGCGACTGAAGTGGAGATTTATGGCTCAGTGTAGGAGAAAAAAACTCATTTTGAGAAAACGGCCTTTAAAAATATGTATTGCAATTGAAATCTATTGACACAAATAGATAAAGTGCTATAAAATAAGCACTTAACAGTGTCTTTTGGATGTTTTCTTTCCACTAGTCTTTATCAACACTTTATGAAAAGCCAAAAAGCCCAAAATCTCAAAATTGACAGGTGCCTGAAAAAATATTGTTTTTCCCTGCAGTGTCTCCCCTTAATGGCATTTTATTGAATATTTGGCAAACTATCCAGTGCGTTATGGTTTGCGCTCTGGAGATCGATTTCTATGTCAATGTGATTTTTCAGCGTTGAGCAATGTAGCCAATCACGGATATATCTGTTGATTTAGGTGTTATCAGTTGATATCTGTTAGAATTCACTCACCGCTGAAATCGCCTGAGTTTTTGTGCTGGTGTTGTGTTCAGCATGAATCATCTCATTATAACAACGTGTTGATGCGTTGTGCAGTGTAGAGAACTTTATTGATAATAACGTATCTTTGTGAGATCGTGATGAACTGAGATGAATGACAGTTTTTTAGTGAGCGCTCTTTGCGCCATAGCATATATATAGTTACAGCACCCTCACTAATTTAAGAAGCACCCTCAGTGATTTGATTCTGGAGCCGGGCCTGCTGTGGGACAATGACCACGGAGGTCGTTTCCCTGTCACTGGCACTCCCAGTGTTGGGAGTGGCCTTGTGGTGTGTGTGGGCAGCACACACCGTTCCTAAGCCCCCTGAGCATCCTGAACTCCCGCCCAGCCTCCCTCTCCCACCACCTCTGTACCAGTCCTCACCCAATCGGCATCAGTCCAGGTGCGCGAGCCGGCTGCTAGACATGCGACGGTGGAAGTGTCAGTAGGGAGCGAGGGCACGGAGGAATGCCCCGCCCACTGCACCACTGCTAGGGGTGAGCTGAGGCTGCGCTCAGAGGATTTTAACATATATGCAGACATGCCCCCTCTTCGTCTGAACTCTCTGCCTGCCCTGAATTATCTGTCTGCCCTGAATCATCTGTCTGTCCTGAAACGACCACGGAGGTCGTAACTGAACTGTCTGTTTATATTAAACTGTCCGTCTGCCTGGAATTATCTGTCTGCCCTGAACTGTATGCCTATACTATAGCGACCACGGAGGTCGTTCCCCTGTCGCTGGTGCTCACGGTGCTGGAAGTGGCCTTTTGGTGTGTGTGGGCAGCACATACCGTCCCTAAGCCCCCTGAGCATCCTGAACTCCCGCCCAGCCTCCCACTCCCACCTCCTCTGCACCAGTCCTCACCATCTAGCTCCCGTCAGTCCACCAGCTCCGCCGGGCTCCCTCGTCCCTCCGGCTCCGCCTTGGTCTGTAGTTGACCATCCGCCTCCTCGGGACTCCACCCCTCTGGCTGCGCCTCGTCCCTCCGTCCCTCTGGCTCTGTCAGGCTCCTCCTTCCCTCCGTATCCACCTTGGTCCTCTGTCACTCCGGCTCCACCGCGGCCTTCCGGATCCACGCCTCTGTCGCCGGAGCCATCTGCTCCACCTTGGCCCTCCAGATCCTCAGCATCACCCTGGCTCATCGGCTCTCTGTCTCCGCCTCAGGCTTCACCACCACCTGCTCCACCGCTGTCGGTCGGCCCCCTGGAGCCGTCAGCCCTTTCTCAACCATGGCTCCTCCCTCCGTCAGCTCCATCGTGGGTCGCCTTCATGGCTGCGGCCTGGGTCCCGCCTGGTTCCTCCTGTCTCCTCCCTGGCTCCTCCCTCCGTCTGATCTGCCCTGGCTCCTCCTGTTTCCTCCCTGGCTCCTCCCTCCGTCGTCTCCACCCTGGACTCTGTTTGTCGTCTTCCTCCCGGGTGTCCGTCCTCCACCCGAACCTCCTCCAGTATTTGTCTGCCTGCCTTCCTGCTAGCCCTTTGCCATCCCCTTCCACCATCCCACATCCACTCCTTTGTCCTCTTCCCAGGTCCCCCTTCCGTCCCTCCATTTGTTGTTTCTGCGGTGCAAGGTCGCGCCTTCTGGGAGGGGGGTCGAACTATCACACCCCTGGACTGTTTTTGATGTGTTTTCATCCCTCATGTGCTCTGTGTGACCTAGTTTCTGTCTCCCGTTGATTGTGTCATTTAGTTCAGGTGTCTTGTTAATTGTCCTCGTCATCCCATGTATTTAATCCCTGGTCTGTGCAGTCTGTGTTTGTCCGGTCTACTACGTCCCTACGTGTGCTCCTGCCTGTTCTGTCCTGGATTTACCCTTGTGTGGATTTAGTAAAGACTATTTGCATCTTCTTCGTGCGTTTATCTTACCGTAGAGTGACAGATTCATATTTGTAAGCTATCATTATTAAGTTTTGACAGTAATCTTAAATTCTAAATTTGATTAAATGCTGTATTACACAAATGTCAGTCGTCGAGAAATTCCCCTAAATGTAGTTTATGATTATGAAAAGAGAAACATTTAACAGATTTTATGGTTCTCATCATTAGATAATGCTCAAAATAACCATTAGGGAATGTTCTGTACAAATTGGGTTTTATTAAAAAACTCTCTGCAATGTTGTTGGAACATTATTTTATGTTATGTAAATAATAAAAAAAGAAAGTGGGGAAGGAGATTAAAAAAGTTTGAAAACATTTTGTGTAAACTTGAATACATTTATGGTGTTTCTTTGTAATTTTTGTAGCTTGACAACTACAGTCCCCATTCACTTTCCTTGTATGGAAAAGAGCAGCATGAACATTTTGCTAAATGCCTCCTTGTTCCACTGAAAAAAGAACAAATGGGATTGGCATGATATGAAAATTTTCATTTTTTTAGGTGAACTGTTCCTGTAATGGTAGAACTATAGCTGCTCTCAATATCTATATCCAAGCACAGAAATGCAAGCACAGCCTCATACAGAAGTAGCATATGCTTTCAAGCATGCACCACACAAACGGCGTGTTTTGTTTGCGTTTGTAATTGTTAGTCTTATTTGCATGCCATTTTGAGGTATGTTCATTGGGGAGATTTGTTCTTTGGGTCATTCTACAATTGTGGTGGCAGATGCTTTTGCTTTTTGACAACCAAGTCAAACTACAATATACACTATTTTTTAGAAAGCCTTTTTTTATTATAGAAAATGTTTAAAATTAAAATAATTTAACTGTAACTTATTTATAAATGATCTTGAAAAATCTGTAAGGCATCTTAAAAAAACTGAAAATACATGGTCACGTGGTTTTACTCTCTTATGCATTTTAGATATGTTGTTAAAATTTATTTTGATATATTGATAATTAGCAATTAGATAAATGCTAGCATTTTTGTAATGCATCTTGTAATTAGGGGCCAAGCACCGAAGGTGCGATGGCACCTATTGTATCCGTTGGAGTTCTTATTCTTCCGCTCTGGAAGTCTATGGCAGCCCATAGAACTGCTTGCGGGAGTTATGAAATTTGGCACACTGATAGAGGACAGTCTCATCATCAACCACAGCAAGTTTGGAGTCTCTATCTCAAACTCTCTAGCGCCATCACTTGTCCAAAATTTTACTCATGTTTATGCTAATAACTTTTGAACCGTAAGGCACAGAAGGAAAATTCTTTTTTCCACCG